ACACAAATAAACATAGACAGTGCTACCTTCAGACAATGCTTTAAATTTAGGAAACTAGGCTACACTCATTCACTCAGTTGACGAGTCACAGCCACCAAATCTGTGAATGAAGCAATATATCTTAAGGCATGCACAGATATTCTAATTTTTTGTCCGACAGTGTCACAGATAGCTGGCCAATACACATATATTCGAGCTCAACATTATGTCAAGCTTTTCTTAGTTTGAAGTCTGGTTGGTTCACAACCGAACAGGTTACTGCTCTGTCGGACGAATTGAATAAGTGCCCCGTGGTTCACCCCCCTCCCCAAAAAAGCCTTATTGGAAGTTAGTGCTCGGTGTTAATGCCTGCCAATTTATTTTACATTGCCCTATGCATGTGTCACAAAGACATTTGCTGAAGACGTGCTAACATTCAGGCCAACATCGCATACTAGGTCAACAAGATGCAAATGGAATTAATAGGAACAGTGCCACCTATAATAACAGCATAACACTTCAGTATCTTAGAACAGCCAGAAGGTGCACAAGAAAGTTGAGCACACTCTTGCAAAACTTTAATACAGAATTTGTTTTAGGGTGGAGCAGGTTAACATGCATTGGGATGTTTAAATCCATGAAGCATGTTCAGAAAACAGGGTAAAGGCGAGTCTTGAAACACTGTTACGAAGGCCTGCGCACGGACAGCTTCGTGAATCTTAGCCCAAGTGTTATGCTTTGTCAAAGCCCAAACCTGTGAAAATAAGAAAAACGTACTTTTAGTTGCACCACTGTAAACAAATCTCGGCAGTTGGCTTTCTAGTACAAACAGCAATCCCTTTAATAAAAACATAAACATTAATAGTGTCAGCAAACACGCGGGCCAGCGTAGCCATGTCAAATTCTCCCTAGAGATTAAAACGGCACGTAATTTCAGCACGGCATGTAAATCATTTTTTGTGTAGTCAAGACAAGTAGGCATGTGTGTGTTTGATTCCATTTTTATTGTATTTTTAGGTGCCTATATATAGAAAGCTAGCTGCAAGCTAACAAGAAAAACATATATTACTCTGTTATCTGTATTTATTGATTGCTTTTGTTTGATACCTCAAAGCTGACCTGAACACTTTTTTATGTCGCATATTTTATAGGACAGTTCACGAGCCACTGTAGGCTATCGGTCCAAATAATCGCTGCAATTGCATATATCCATTCATGAAAATGAAGTTCATTGATTGATTGAATGAAATTGTCAGTGCCAGCGTAACCATGTGGCATGATACTCTTCGCTGTCCTGCACATGCGCAGTTTGGCCCCAAAAAACGATGCTTTCATATACATAATACCCCTGTCACAGGAGAAAGTTCATTGTGAATTTACTCTACTGACATCCGACACATAGAATGACATTAGGAGACGTGTGCTGCTACACGGACAGATGTATTGTCCTTTGTAAATGATGGCAATCGCGATGTCGCTAAGACGGATTTAAGAAAAAACACTCGCAGCATGTGTAATTAATTCAATTTGTCCACTAAGGGCTGTAAAAATGTTTCCACACAGATGAAATTGAGGATGAAAGGTTAATGTACAGTTTTTTTAATACCCAAAGAAAAGCCCGTAGCCCATATGAATTCGAAGCAAGACTGGAGCCACTATCACTTTTGGGGTGGCGTGGTAAATGTTCAATATGGCTGACGTGGCGCAGTGCGAGGCAGCCGCATCAAATTTTTGCGCCGAATTCCTCTCATGGTGCCAGGCTTGTTAACCAAGAAAGACAGCTTCGAGGCTAGCGTAAACACTGAGCACATGGCTGACATGGCAACATGGCCGGCAACGCTTTTGAGAATGTTGCTGTGAACGAGAATGCTCAATTTTTGGCGAACGACTCAGATGAATTGTAAGCGAACACATTAAGCAATACTTAAATATTAAACCATAATATTGCTTGTTATGGTTTTTAATTTTTTCACATATAATCTGTTTACGGTCCTCTTCTGGCGAAAGTACATCTTCGCGACGAAAACTCATTCGAATGAGTTCGGCTAACTCATCCGTTTTCTGAAGTCATTTCCTTTGAATGACATTAGACGTTTCCGTGTGACAGCCCATTATTGCCACTGAATCTAGATGTCATTCGGTGCAAATGGCATTATACCTTCTCGTGTGACTAGGATATAACACGTACAAACAGTCTGCACTTAACAAAAGTCACTTGCCTTCTGTACTTCAGCATCACTGGGTACATTATTATCTGCAGTATAACCAAATATGTGTGAAAGACTTTTAAAAGGTATTTTGGACCTGCATCAAATACGGTTTTATTTCATAGCAGTCAAGTCTGGTTAAAAACAGCCAAGTTGTAATCAGACTAATTATGGGCATGCGGCAAATCCTACACGGCGTTACTGAGGTCATTCAAAGATGAAATTTTTGTCGATTGGTATTGACGTCAAAATGCGACTTAAACGGCTTGTTGAAATTTCCCAGTGCGTACATATTCTAGGATTCTGAATAACAGGCATGCCAACGTGAGCCTACTACATTTACGATTGTGTTTCACAATATTCAGTTTTGCGACAGTTTTGCATCGCTAAAAAATCTGAAAGATTTAGATGATTTCATCTCGCGTTGTTCTGTCCATGTGCAACGTGCTCGCTTGATGTTACCTTTATGAAACAATACGTCCCGCATGGAAGTGAAGCAAGTCACGCAGTGTCGTAGGCAGAGTTTATGAATTTTGGGCGTATGGAGGGGGGGGGGGGTCCACCCATCTGACTTGGAGGCCAGGCATGCAAACTGGGTCTTGTGTCATATTGTCATATTGGGCCCTGTAGGCTAGGCCCAAAACAGTTTTGGGACTACGGTGGAGGGAAGGGGGGGGGGCACGGGTTTTGTGTTCCACCGCCTGGCTGTGCCGCTGAAGTAATGCAAAAATAGTTTGTTCACTTACTGACCCACATGCACTACAGCTCTACAAAATGTGGCCGAAGGCCTCAACACCTAGTCGATAACGTTACAAAAAGCCAATGAGGTACAAGTACCTCTATCAAAGAAAGTACAGCCGCACGCCAATGTCTTGTTTTTTCAAACAAGGCTTAATTGCGAAAAGGAACTTTTAACAGCAAAAGTACACTGGATCAGCAGTGGTGACAAAGGCAGTAATATGGTATTATGCAGGTGGTAATAATAGCAGTAATTTAGTCTATACAGCTTGGAATGAATACGGTGAATAAGACAAAGCAAATAATTTCTCTTCTGATAACGCAACCAATCAACAATATGTCTTTGGACAAAAAACAATGAGCCAGCTGTTTGAGAACTTAACACTTCTCACAAGCTGTGAACGAGCTTGGCGGTTTGGAGTATCCAAAGTTACTCTAGAAGTACTTTAGTTTGGGCTAGCTGGTTCATAGTACTCAATTAGAAAGGGCAGTACAAAAACACGCGGAAAAAAATGACTGAACAAATTTTGCGGCTGACAAAAGGCGAGTCTGGGTCTGCTTTTTTTGGTCTTTTTTTCTCCGGCTGTTTTAAGGCCTTGTTCTGCAGGTGGTTTGGTGTTCGGTCGGTTTTGACGCACTTCTGTAGCAAGCAAATGGCGTGGCTAGGCTTTTTTTTAATATCTTTTGCACGTGTTTCGGTGTTTCGTCCGCTTGACATGCCAACTTTCTACGCTCCTCCTGCGTGTGTTAGGCGCTTGCGGTAGCTGTATCCTCAGGTCCTCTGTGTTCAGCCAGCGCTGTTATTTTACAATCTGCAGATGCTAAAGTGAATCACTGTTTTGGTTTGGTAAAGTTTGGCACACAGAAAAATTCTCGAGTCGAACTTTACCAGTCTATCTGGCCCTTGAATATCAATGTGGGCGGCATGCATATTTGCGTTTCCTTCAGTGAAGAAACCGTTGCGTGACGAGAGCATTTAGTGCGATTCCTCTTTCCGTTGCTTCCTTAAAAACTTTGTTCTGATACAATTGATTCCTGTTTTTGAACATGTCAGATATCTTGTTGCGCTGGGTCCTTTCGGGGAGAAACAGTTGGTCTGGAAGACTAAAAGCAGCCGTTACTCCAATTTTGGCCGTTCTTCGCTTGGAGTGTAGGGATAAAACGGCGATAAAAAGTGACACTTCCGAAAAAACTTCGCAGACTACGTATGGACGTCAGAGGTGCGTAGCCGACGATAGTTTCGACCTTGTCAGGCAGAGAAGTGATGCCACGACTAGTGATTTGCTGTCCGAAGTATGCTATATACGTCTGAGTCACGAGTAAATATAGCACTCTTATATGCGGTTCAGAAAACACAGCTGTATTTAGGAATGCAGATGTAGATAGAGCTTTCAAAGTTTTGGCTCACAACCACCCGTGAAGATTGGCCATGATTTAGTATTGCATCTCCGCCATTTGTCCAACTACCTTCTCTTGTTCTTCAGCAGGCTGCCAGTTCAAGTTCCATGCGTGTCATGCCAGACGACTAAAAAAAGCACGCCACATATCAATATTCTACTTCTCGCCCGTACCTTGCCTCGTCATCTCATGAGACACGCTTGCACCGCTGGCAATCGCAGTGTTCCCATAAGCACCCTCGATGGTTTCAGGTTCGCCCAGTCATCGTCTTGGGGATTGCATGCCCACAAGAGGCACGTAATAATAGAAAACATAGCCTAGTGCGTCGGGTGCAGCAAGTACGCCGTCTGGAGACAGAGAAAAAGCTTGCGGAGTGGTTGAAATGTGCTCCGACAGGTACCCTACTAGCCGGTCTTCGCATTTCAGACTCAATCGAATCAGGAACCTAGGTGGAGTCATGTTACCAGAAGATGCCCTATCGTGAATGCGCGATTGAAGCACACAGTTTGGACAGAGAGCGAAAATTGGTCTCTAAATGATTCTTAGGATCTGGCCTACTGGTCAAGAGTGTTTGCGAAAAAAATGTTCAAATTATTTCAAGATATGTTTAAGTGTGACCCCTACCTCCCCAAGGTACAATGCAAGCAGGTACAAATGATGGGATTTCTCTTTTGAAAGCAGTGCCGGGAGGCCCCCCACTTGAGGTGAGAGCTGTCGCGGTGGACTCGCAGACCATCCGGGTAACATGGAAGGTGAGTGTCCATGACGAAGAAAAAACATACAGTTTTGTGTTCCGAAAGCATCATACAGTCCTCGCGTTGTCATGACATTTATTTTCTATAATGCGAACTTTCTATTTTTTCGTGAATGTTGTATCTTTAGGTGTAACGTCAAGTTACAGTAGAACAGCATTTTTTCCATCAGGAGATGAGAACAGCACTGTGGGTTTGGGCAAAAGCAAGTTTCTACGACAATTTTTTGGCAGTAAGGACTAGGAGTTAGCACGATCTCCCATGATGGGTTGCACAAGGATAAAAAAGCAATCGATCAATCAATAAATCAAGATAGTTGACACTGCCGAGAGAGACAGATTATATTCCAAGAGAAGGCAAGGCCACCAGGGGGAGGCGGTAAGTTGTCTTGGAAAATAAGCTTGTGGAGACAACACGGCTGCGCGAAGCAGAAAATTGGTTTGATTTGCGCAGATTAGGAGGTGCATTTTTTCAGTGATGGGAGCAGTCAGGCTGATGGCAATAAATCGCAACTGATAGAGGGTTTTTGTAGCCAGCACAATGAAACCCCTGGACTTTATTCCCTTTCTGATACCCTTAATTACCTCGTACTTCGAGAGGGTTGCCCTGCTTTCCTTGCATAGGTCCAAGATGTATTGAACGTAGTGGTGCAAGGCGAACCCAGTGACTGCGCTGATATTTTCGTACACTGTTCTGAAAACAGGTTCCGCAGAGCATAGAGCCTACATGCACCCATACTATCGGCCTATACCATGTTTATTAAGAGTGGTGGGTGGTGTCTACGTACTGAGGCGCTGGTAGTGACGTAGCAGCGTGGTGGCTCTGCCTAGCCCCATGCTCAATGATCATTTCGCAAGTGGCAAGCAGCTACCAAGCCATCTTCACGTCACAAACGAGTGCTCAAGAAAGCGTCCACCTCAAAATACTGGGGACAGCGACGATACCGGGAACCACATTGTCGCGACAAGGCCAGCGAAACGGGGAAAACAAACAGCAACAGACTCCTCGGGCACACCGCGTCCGGACATCGAAATCGTCACTACGCCTGCCAAACTTCTCGCATGCATCTGACAGCAAGAGGTCGCAGAAAAATTCTACAAAGGCAAGTTTAAATAGCCACTAAAAAAATTGAGAAAGTAATCACTGACGATAATAAAGCAGTGTGGACATACACAAATCTAATTCGTCTGTTTGAACTAGAGCTTGCTAAGGCACGTGAAAAGTCACCCCGAAAAAGAAGACACAAACCCAAACGTTGGTGGGATGAGGAAGTTAGGAGAGCCATAGCAAAACGTCAGGAAGCCTCTAGAGAGCACAGACATGGTAAGCAGCGGAGTGAACCGACAGATCATGTTGAAAGAAAATGGCAAATATTTCTGAGCTGTAGAAGGAATGCATCTGTTCTGATCAATGAAAAGATTAGAAGAAAGAGAGCTCAGTGGCTGGCAGAAGTACATAAAAAAGTTTGAAAGGCAGCTGCGAGATTTCAGAACCATCTAAAACTTCAGAAATAAGACGAGCCTAGAGCAGAGGTTTATAACTACAGCTCAAGGTGCTAGTCTATACAGGAACGAAGCTATTGAATATATAAGAACAAGGGTGACAAAAAAATTTCAACGAAGAAGTGCTTTACGCACCACAAAAGACAAGGATGAATCAAGTGGCGCAATGGCTCCATTCTCACAACGAGAGTGGGAAAAGGCTAAGAAGAGGGTTTCTAGTAGTACATTACTGGCCCAGATGGCATTCCAATTATGCTGATAAAGACATTAGGTCCGAAGTCTAAGCACGCTTTGAGAGAGGCAGTGAGCAAAATAATAATCGGTGGCGAAATTCCCAATGGATGGAAGCTTAGCAGGATGAGCATGATCTATAAAGAAAACGGGGACAAAGCTGACATAAACAACTACTGTCCTATAACAGTGACATCAGTGGTCTACATGCTGGCGATGCAGAATGTAAAGGAAGGACTGCAGGCATGATTAGAGAATAAGGGGGTGTTGGGGGGACTGCAGAATGGGTTTCGGAAACACAGGAGGTTGGAAGAAAATCTGTTCTCACTGACAGTGCATCTAAATAGCACAAAAAGAACACAGGCCCCTGTCGCTAGCATTTTTGGATATCAAGGGAGCGTACAATGGCGTGTTTTAGGAGGAATTGTGGAGAATACTGGACACACTAGGCGTGGGAGATGTAGTCGCCAATATTTTAATGGATATCTATAAAGGTAGGAAGGTATTTATAAAGTGCGAAAAACAGGTATCCAATCCAGCAGAGGTACAATGGGGGCTTAGGCAGGGGTGTCTCCTGTCACCCTTATTATTCATGATGTAACTACAAGGATTAGAGGCCAAACTAGAGGGAAGTGGACTGGGCTTCAACCTCTCTTTCGTCAAACAAGGAAAACTAATTGAACAGGCACTACCAGCATTGATGTACGCAGATGATACAGTGCTAATGGCCGACAAGAAGGATTCATCATTTTCACTGGTATAGCGCACCACCACAAGGACACACACAAAGAAGAGATGCACACACACACAGCGCTAACTTGCAACTAATGTTTTATTTGCGATCACACACGCTGTTTACACAACAGTAGACTGATAAAACCTGGATAATGTCATGTCAAGAATACACCACAGCCCATGCCCGTGTCATCACCGATAGCGACAATGTACACTAGCCCGTCAAAGTGAAGATTCTAGATACTACTTTTCTTTAGATGATAAAGCTATGGAAGCCACAGTCACACATTTTTATTTCCTTTTGTCTATTTCAAAAGCTTCAATATTTCACGTGTGGTTCTGTCACGGGCCTTAAAGAGTATACGGGTGTTTTGGAACATAGGGACACAACCGCACCTCTGACAGTGAAGGGCCAAATGACCACATACGGCTGTTTCTACATTGTACTTGTGTTCCCTTAGTCTTTCATTCACACACCTTCCAGATTGGCCTATGTATTCGCAACCACAAGTCAAAGGAGTGCTATAGACAACACCACAACACTTCACAACACTTCACAAATTTCTCCCGGTGCTTAATCTTACAATCCTGTTTCCCGCTACTTTCTGCATTGACCTTTTTGCACATTCCTTGCAACTTTTAGGGAGCAGAAAACACTACATCCGCACCCGCCTTCCTTGCTATCCTTCGCAAGTTATGCGAAATGGCATGCATGTAAGGCACTACAGCAACCTTGCCTGCCTTAGTTGCGGTTGCCTGGTCTTTGACGTTTGCCCTTCCTTTCCTGCTTATACATTCGGCAACAGTGGTCAACAAGTGCAAGGGGTAGCCAGAGTTCAATAAACGTTTTGCTTGAGCCCACAAGCTCTCGTCAAGCTTGTGGTGGCATGACCTCATCAGCGAGTTCTGAAAACAGGATTTTATCACCGCACGCTTTACCAATTTCGAATGAGCGGATGCGAACGGAAGAACGGGTTTATTTCCTCGCGGTTCATAGCTCTAGTATACTCTTGCTGGCGAAAAATACAGCCCGAGGTCAAGGAATCTTATAAAATTGTCATTTGGTACTTCATGCGTCAGCACCAAGGGAGATTACACTGTCAAGAACATGGTTAGAGTTTCATTCACAACTGCGTCAAAATTGCTATGATCATTATTGGCTACGATCAGATAGTCATCTACATATCTAAAAACAGCAATAACGTCAGTGTGCTTCATACGTTCGTCAAGGACCTTCTTACGTTTTGCTAAAAACGGGTCGCTCAGGTACGGGGCTATGCAGGAACCTATACATATCCCGTTCTTTTCTTTTAAAGTGTTTCCATTCCACGTCGCATAGGTCGAGTTAAGATAAAAGTAAAGGAGCTCTAAAAATTGATCACTCGACAGACCGGCAGTATTTTGAAAATCAACCGCTCCTACTCTGTCTATACCTTCCGACACACACGCCATCAACTCTGCCTGAGGGAGGGTGTAATAAAGGTCCTTAACGTCAATCGAAAAAGCTAAAAGGTCTGCGTTTTCCTTACCTGCAAGAAAGTCTAGCACTTGTTCCGACTTTATCACCAAAAAGGGGTCCTCAAGAGATATCAACTTCAAATGTTTTTGAAGAAATAACGCAATGCACTTTTGCCAGGATTCATTCTCTGAGATGATCACTCTGAAAGGGCAGTCAACTTTATGCGTCTTTGCCGTAAAAAATATATCAAGATCCACTTTTTTGTCTTCTCGATCGATCTAACCAGGCCTTAAAAATTAAAACTTTTGCATAGCTTCTTCGCGGTAGTTCGCAGTTTTTGTAACGAAATATCAAGTACTCAAGTGTAGACCAAAGTTCGCCGTCGAGCCGCGAAAATCTAGCCCCGAACTTCCTGGTATGGTTCGGAATGTCTCAAAACAAGTACCTGAAGGTGACGTTGACAGGTGTGTATCTGAAGGTGTCGACGTTCTCATGCGTGTCCATCCTACGGGTGGCAGATGTGCTTTTGGAGAGACCATTAGGCACTTGAAGGACAATTCCCTCCCGCTGCTACCAGCCGATAAAGACGGTGGCTTTGGGGTTATGCGTAAATCATTGTATCGAGCGAAGGCGTCAGTGGCCATTAATGCTGTATTTGATACTCATAACAATATTTCGTTACAAAAAGTGCGAACTACCGCGAAGAAGCTATGCAAAAGCTTTAATTTTTAAGGCCTGGTTAGATCGATCGAGAAGACAAAAAAGTGGATCTTGATATATTTTTTACGGCAAAGACGCATAAAGTTGACTGCCCTTTCAGAGTGATCATCCCAGAGAATGAATCCTGGCAAAAGTGCATTGCGTTATTTCTTCAAAAACATTTGAAGTTGATATCTCTTGAGGACCCCTTTTTGGTGATAAAGTCGGAACAAGTGCTAGACTTTCTTGCAGGTAAGGAAAACACAGACCTTTTAGCTTTTTCGATTGACGTTAAGGACCTTTATTACACCCTCCCTCAGGCAGAGTTGATGGCGTGTGTGTCGGAAGGTATAGACAGAGTAGGAGCGGTTGAT